ACTGGGATCAGCCTGAGCAGGCCCAGGAGTCAACCATAAATGCATTCGCGGGTCATGGGGGCCTGTTGCAGTTCATTTGGGTCATATTGGGGCCATTTGGGAGGCCTTTGGGTTCTCTTGAAGCCCTGTTGGGGCTCACTTGAGGCTCTCCTGGGGCCTTTTTGGGGGCCCTCTTGAGGCCACCCGGGAGGCCACCGATCAAAGACGGGGGTAACCAATCATTGCCCCCCATCGAAAGCGTACAAGTCGCCGTCTGGGGCTTTCTTGGGGAACTGTTGGGCCCCTCTTGGGGCTCTCGTGTGCCCACGCTGAGGCCCCCCAAAGCCGATCGGAAGCGAACATGTTGGAATATCACGTGCTTTCTTTCGGTGTTGGTGGGAGGCTGGCCTCTCGGGGCAGGGGTGGGGAGGGGTCCGTGAGAGGCTCCGTGGCCACTTGGAACCGTATTGGGGCGGCCGTGGGGCCTCTTTGCGGGATGTGGGAGGCTACACACACACACGTATATATATATATGTATATGTACATACATATATGTATATATGTATGTATGTACATGTATGTATATGTATGTGTATATATATATATATGTCGGAGTAGGGCCCGGGGGCGGCCCAGGGCGCTGCCAGTAATCTCCATGGGGGGTGCAGGGCGGGAACAGTTCGAGACCGCCCAAGACGGCCCGCGAGCGCTCCAAGACACGCATAGATAGCCTCAGGAATGCCCAGGAAGGCCCGAAGACGTTCCAAGAGAGCTCCATGAGGCCCCGGAGGCATCCCAAGAGGCCTCCCAAGAGAGCGCCGACAAGCCAAAATCGTTGATTTGTATTGTTTTCTTGTAGGTTTATGGCCTTCTCGCTTTTTCGGGGTTCCGACGCTCCAAGACCGTCCAAGAGTCTCCCAAAACCGCTCCAAGACGGCCGACGAGGCCCCCAAGACCGCCCCAAGACGGCCCAAGAGACCCCCCAAATCGTCCCAAGACGGCCCAGGAGAGCCCCAAGATAGCCCAGGAGCCGCCCAAGACAGTTCCAGGAGAGCCCCGACAGGGCTTCAAGACTGCCTAAGCGAGCCCAGCGGGCCCCAAGAGGGCCTCGCGAGGCCCCAAGAGGCCCCAAAGAGGCCCCCAAGAGCATCCCCGGAGGCCCCCAAGAGGCCCCCGAGATGCCCAAAAATGGCCCTGAGCGCGCCCCAAGACGCCTCCAGGAGAGCCCAACAGGCCCCCAAGAGGCCCACTGGAGGCCCTCAGGAGGTCGTCCCCATCATGTTCCCGGAAGGCGGTCCAGGAACATGATTCCGCGCCTTGGAGGAATATTCTGCGCCTTCCGAGGCGCCTTGGACGACGTACGATTCATATTCTTGAACGCTTTCCGGGAACATGATTTCTCACCGTTTCGGAACGCTTTCCTACTGCTGCGGTGCTCTGGGGGGAAGGGACGGGGGTCCGGGAACATGATCGGGAGGTTAGGGAACGAGGGTTTGGAGAGGAGCAGTAGGACAGACGGACGGGGCCCGCAAGACGGCTCCGATACGGCCCAAAACGTCATGGAGAGAGCCTCGATACGGCCCAGCACTACGCCAGAGAGATCCCCCCGATCATGTTCCCAGAGCGGTCCGGGAACATGATGTCCTGCATTGGAGCGGTAGCGACTGGGACACAGCGGCGCCGTCGCCGACGTATTCGTCGCCGTCGCCGTCATCGCCATCGTCGTTGCGTCTTCCGCTGCCCCGGTCAACACCGCGGGGCCTCCTGGGATTTATTTTGGACCCCTGGGACCTCCAGTTCTGGGGCCTCCTGAGATACGTTTCGTCATCCTGGGGCCTCATGGGGCCGATCATCCTCTTCGGGTCGTCCTCCCCCGGTCCTCCTCAGATACTCCTCCGATCCTGTTCCGAGCGTCCTCCTCCGATCATCATTCGCCGATCCTCTTTTCACCTTCCCCTCTACCTCTTTTTCCCTTGTTACTGCACTTCCAGCGATTCTTCGACGGCGCCCACGAAGCTGAGCGCGAGGACCAAACATATACATATTTATATATGTATATATTTATACATTGATAATATAATAATACGAATAATAATAGTGATACTGATGATAATGGTAACACTGATAATAATAATGGTAGTTATATAGCATACTACATTATATATATGTATGTGTATATATATATATGTGTATGTCTGTCTGTCTGTCTGTCTGTCTGTCTGTCTGTCTGTCTGTCTGTCTGTCTGTCGGTCTGTCGGTCTGTCGGTCTGTATGTATGTATGTATGTATGTATGTATGTATATATGTATGTATGTATGTATGTATGTATGTATGTAAATATGTAAATATGTGTATGTGCATATATATATATATATATGTATATACATATATATATATATATATATATATATATACGTTGTCATATCATATCTACATATAACGCCGCACCGGGCCCGGGGTCCCTGGGGCCGCAGCCCCGATCGCAAATGGGGGGACGTCGGGCTCAGCCCGCTCCCCGGCGGGCTTCAAGCGCCCAGACGGCCGTCCAGGCGGCCCCAGGCCGCCCACAGCCACCCCGAAGACAACCTCCAGCGGTCTCCGGCGGCTCAAAAGGCGTCTCGAACCACCCCAGACCACCCCAGACGCCTCCAAGACCCTCGAAGACCCCTACAAGAGATCCGCCCCAGGAAGCAAAATTTTCCCGCTCCCTTCGTAAAGCGTACATTTTAACCATATTCGATTTTTGTTTGCCTTCGTACCGTCTTTTACGACTTCCGACTCTCCATAGACCGCCCCAAGACGGCCCACGAAGCCCCAAAGAGAGCCCCAAGACGGCCCCAGAGGGGCCCCGGACAGTCCAAGAGGCGCCCAGGACGGTCCAAACGCGTCCCCAAAGGGCCCCAAGAGGGGCCCAAGACGAGACACCCAACTGAACCTTCCAGCCCCCCCGCCCCAGGAGGCCCCCAAGAGGCCCCTAAGAGACTCCCACGAGGCCCAAAGAGGCCCCTGAGACGCCCGCGGCAAGCCCCCAAGGGCCTCCAGAGGCACCCCCAAGAGGCTTCCAAGAGGCCCCCGAGGCTTCCCCAGAAACCTTCATGTACGTCTACATGCGCCCTCCGGTCCAAAAACCTGAGACCGTTCCTGGGACGCCGCCTGATTGGCACAGGTTTTCTTTGTCTCTGTCAATGGGGGGAGCAGCAGCGACCCTTGTCGCTGGGGCCAGGGGAGCAGGCCCGGGGCCCGAAAATTTGGCGAGAAGGGCTTGCACGAACATATTTTTAGTGACCGCCTGCCCGTGGAACTGGCGACGCCGGGTGGCTTCATAGTTTCACAGCGCCTGGCGGAGGCAGCGTCGGCGCTTACTTTTCCTGCCCATGCACCTGTCTCTTCGGGGCCAGGGCCCGCTGTTGGGGGCCGCCAAACAGGTCCCAGGCCGATCATACAGCCGTCCCGACGGACCAAGATTGCCCCGAGCTGCCCCGAAGACGGCTTCCAGAGGTTCCAGACGGCCCAAGAAGGTTCAAACAGCAGCCCGACGAGTGCTCCGAGAGGCCAAATTTAGATATTTTCCTTTTTAGTTGTTTGACGGATTTCGGGCTCCCAACGTTCCCAGACGGGTCAAGAGGTTCCCCAGACCGCCGTCAAGGCGGCTCTAGAGGGGAGGCGTCCACGACGATCCAAGACCAATCCAAGAGGACCCGCAAGAGTGCTCCACGGTCTCCAAACACGCCCACAGACTGCCCATGAGGCTATCAAGAGTGCCCCTAGACGGCTCAAGAGGGCCTCAAGATGGACCAAGAAAACCCGAAGACGGCCCAAGAGGGCCCCAGGTTATACGAGCTGCTATTTGGAACCCTCTGCCCAAAAATGGCCTTCGAGGCCGCCTATAGGTGCCCAACAGGGCAGACCGAAAGAGGCCCCTGGGAGGCCCAAAAGAAAACACAAAGAGGCCCCCAAGAGACCCCAGGAGCACTCCGGGAAGCCTCCAGGAGACTCCGAAGAGGCTCCAACTGGGCTCCGAGAGACTTCGAAAGAGACATGGGCCCCAAGATGCCCCAACATGGTTGGTATGCTATCACAGCGTGAGGAGACAGCACGAAAACTGTCTGGGCACGTCCCAGCAGGACCCGAGACGGCTCAAGAGAGTTCTTGTTTCTTCCACATGTCTTTCTGCCTCCTGTCTGTCTTTCCTCGTCCCGCCTGCACGTGCTCCGCCAGCCGGCGTGACAGCGCTCGCATGCCGTTTCAAGGCGGTTCTCTCTCCGTGCTCCGTCACCGCTCCTTCGTCCTGCACATGCTCCGCCAGTTGGCGTGTCAGCGCGTGCATTTTATAGCACGGCTGTGTTCCTCCTTCGTCCGTTTGTCTTCGATCTTCCTGCAAGTGCTCCACCACCTGGCGTGACAGCGCGTGCATTCTGTGTTAAGGCAGTTTGTCCTCCGTCCTCTGGATTTCTTCTGCACGTGCTCCGCCAGTTCAGGGCAGTTGTCGTCCCGTCCTCCGTCATTCCTCGTCCCTCCCGCACATGTTCGGCAAGACAAGCCAAGAACATGTGACGACATCCAAAGACCAGCAAACTACGGCCTCGACATTTCACCATAAGGCCAGCCAATGCCCCAAGCCTGTTCAGCCATCTCCTCGACGAGCCCACAAGCCAAGACCTGCGCGTCGTGACAACGAAGAGGCAACCCCGGAAGGCGCCATCGGGGCCACAAACACCTGCCCCCCCCACAAGAGCGCCTGAAAAGCCCAAAAGCCAGCCCAAGGGAGCCCTGCGACATCCCATAACCGGCCCACGACGGACACAACTCTTCTCAGATTGCGAGTCGCCTGGAAAACACCCCGACCTCCGTTTCATCACAGCGCCATGGGTTGGACTAGAACCTAAGCGCGCGCGAAGCGCGCGTGGTTCTAGTACATATATGCATATGTATACTTATATCTATATATATACATCTATATATACATATATAAATAGCCATATTGGTCTATATTGCACCACTTTGGGAACCATCTTGGACTATCTCAGGCCATCTTGGCGGCTCCGACGACCCGCGACGGCAGCCGCCCCTTCCAGGCCCAAGTAGCGTGGGCAGGTAGACGGGTCAACCTTGGTGTTCCCCGACGGTCTGAGACATCTGAATGTCGAAACCACTTCCGCTCGACGGGCTGGTCGAATTCGTAGCCATGCTGTTGTTTTGTGTAGTTCTGCCACGTTATGTCGTCTTCCTCCTCCTCCCTCTTCGCGGCCGAGGGCGTTCCCGAGCAGGCGGACACCACCGAGGAGCCCGCCGAACTGGTCCAGGCAGACACCACGGAGGAGCCCGCGGAGCTGGTCGAGGCGGGCACGACGGAGGAGCCCACGGAACTGGTCCATGAGGACAGCACAGAGGAACCCACAGAATTGATCCAGGCGGGCACCACCGAGGAACCTGCAGAGCTTGTCCAGGCGGACACAACCGAGGAGCCCGCCGAGCTGGTCCAGGCGGACACCACCGAGGAGCCAGCTGAGCTGGTCCAGGCGGACACCACCGAGGAGCCCGCCGAGCTGGTCCAGGCGGACACAAACGAGGAGCCCTCCGAGCTTGTCCAGGCGGACACCACCGAGGAGCCCGCCGAGCTGGTCCAGGCAGACACCACCGAGGAGGCCGCCGAGCTGGTCCAGGCGGACACCACAGAGGAACCCGCAGAATTGGTCCAGGCGGACACCACCGAGAAACCTGCAGAGCTTGTCCAGGCGGACACAACCGAGGAGCCCGCCGAGCTGGTCCAGGCGGACACCACAGAGGAACCCGCAGAATTGGTCCAGGCGGACACCACCGAGGAACCTGCAGAGCTTGTCCAGGCGGACACCACCGAGGAGCCAGCTGAGCTGGTCCAGGCGGACACCACCGAGGAGCCCGCCGAGCTGGTCCAGGCTGACACAACCGAAGAGCCCGCCGAGCTGGTCCAGGCGGACATCACCGAGGAGCCCGCCGAACTGGTCCAGGCAGACACCACGGAGGAGCCCGCGGAGCTGGTCCAGGCGGACACCACGGAGGAGCCCACGGAGCTGGTCCAGGAGGACACCCCCGACGAACGGATGTCCGACGGACTCCTCGACGTCACGAAGGACTACGGGCGTTCGACTCCTCAGGGTCGCATCTCGAACCGAAGGCTTGCTGCGGCCACCACGGCCATTGCGAAGATTCAGAGCTTGATCGCGTTCGCCAAGAACATTAGTGATCAGGCCGAGACCATGATCAGCCAGGATGGGTATCTGTCGAAAGACGTCAAAGACTCCCTGAGCCACGTGGGCCTGAACATGAAGCTCTTCAAGGACGGGATGAGCATGGTCCCGAATCAGGATCGCCTGTTGTTGAAGGTCAAGGAGCTCGAGGCGACGTCGACGGCCCTCGAGACCCCCTTGGCGACTCTCGGCTCCGTTTGATGCGCGTCGCGCGTGCGGGGAGGCAATCTCGCCGGGCCGCCCTCGACGCGCGAGCATCGCAGGAGACAGCTCTGCGTGGTGGGGACCAGGATCTCCGCCCTTCGCCCGCTCGCTGGCGGAAGTGCGGCACGGCGCGCCACAGCGCTCCTGGGAGGCCTCGGTGCCTGCATGTGCCCCCCGCGGGGGTCCGGCACCTGCCCAGGCCATCCCGTCCTCTGCTGCGTGCGCCTCCGGCGGCAGCTTCCCCTGCACAGCCCCGTCTGCACCTCCTCGCCCGTTCCTGGGGGAAGCGTCAGACTCGAGCAAGCCAGAACTCGGGTCTGCCGACTTCTCTTGACGAGCGCGTCCAGGATTCCGTGGGATGTTTGCAGCGGGAGCTCGCGTCAAATTTCAGATTTGGCCTCATCATTTTCAGGATGGCCCCGTCAGGCCAACCCGAGTCCCCCGTACACGAGCCTTACGTCTCCCTGACGTTTTGGATACGGTAGGTTCGTGTCGTGTCGACCGGCGGCGACCCTGCCAGCGGCGTTAAACGGTGAACGCCGCGGGCGAACCAGAATCGTTCGGTGTGGAACGATGTGGACGCTTCGGAAAAGGCCGACCGGTCCAGGTTGAACGATCCCCGCGGTGCCAGAAGCCAACGCCGAAGCCGGCACGACACGAGCCTGCCGTGCCACATGTTGCAAGTGTTCGTTCCTGCTCTGTCCGCTTGCTCCCCCCTCCACCTGGGTGCTGGCGTTAAGTCGGGCCCGTCCCTCTACAGGAGGAAAATTCAAAAATAGTCAAAAATTGCCTGGGGACGATTTTTCTGGTATTGGCGAACTACTTTTGAATGTTTTTTGGATATATCTAGTTTTCGTCGAAAATCCCCCTGTACGTGGACATGCCCGACCTAATGCTGGCGTCGAGACGCCGCCGCACTCGAAAGCAGTTGTTGGTATGCTGGATTTTCATCGGGTAGTCCGCGAGTTCCTCGTGTTCTCTGCTTCTGTCTATTGCGAAGGCCTTGCGGCCGGCGCCGTCGACCCTGAAGGGGAACGACGACAATGGTGGCGGCGACGACGATGGATGCTTCTTGGATGTTTCTTGGGGTCTCTTCGGTGCGCTCTCGGGGGCCTCTGGGTGACAGTTTAGGGACCTCTTGGGAGCCTCTTGGGGGCCTCTTGGGAGCTTCTTGGGGGTCTCTCGGGGATTCCTGGGGGCCTCTTCGGGTCCTCTTCGGGGCCTCTTGGGGCCTCATGGGGGCCGCTTGGGGGCCTCTTGGTTCCTCCTGGGAGCCTCTCGGGGCCGAGGGCTCGAAATGTCTGTTCTGGTCCCTCGTCTAGGCACCCTCTTGGAACCGTCTTTGGGGCCTCTTGGGCCGTCTTGGAGGCGTCTTGGGCCGTCTTGGGGCCCTATTGGGCTGTTTTGGGTCCCTCCTGGAGCCCTCTTGGGCCGTCTTGGGGCGATATGGGGGGCCTCTTGGGCCGTCGTGAAGCGTCGGGAAGCGGACGAGTCGAGAACGCCGAAATGCTTCAAAAACACATTGGACATACGTAATTGTTCCTTTTGGGGCACTCTTGGGAGTGCTCCTGGAGGCCTCTTGGGGCGCCTTGCAGGGCTCTTGGGCCGTCTGGAGGCCGTCTAGGCAGCCAAAGGCCTCCAAGACGCCCCTAGACAGCCCCAAATGGCCCCCAACAGGCCCAAGAGGGCCCCAAGACTGCCTAAAAGGGCCCCGAGATGACCCTGAGGAGGCCAACTACATTCAGTTTAACTTGGTTTGTGTATGTCTTGTGGGCTCTCGCCTTTTCAAGCTGCCGACGGCCCAGGACGGCTCAAGAGGCCCCAAAGATCTTCCCAACATGGCCCGAGGGGTCCCCAAGAGGGCCTCAAGGCCTCCCAAGAAGCCGCCGGGACGTCCCTAAGGGGGCCCCGAGACGGCCCAAGAGGGCCCCTAGAGGCTCCCGAGGGAGCCTCGAGTGGGCCCTGTGCGGCTCCCAAGAGGGCCCGAAGAGGCCCCAGGGGAAGCTCCGAGACTGCCGGAGGCCTCCAGGACGCCACAGACGGCCCCAGAGGGCCCCAGGACGGCCCAGGAGGGCCCCTAAGAGAGCCCAGCAGGTCCCCAGCAGGACCCCGAGGAGGCATTAAAAAACACATGGATTTCCCTAGGGTGTTAGCGAGTTCTCTGGGTCCTCGCCTCTGCGGGCCTCCGACGGCCCAGGATGGCCCAAGATCGCCCCCGAGATCGCCCCAAGATCGCCCCAAGATCGCCCCCGAGATCGCCCCAAGATCGCCCCAAGCTCGTCCCCAAGATCGCCCCAAGATCGCCCCAAGCTCGTCCCCAAGATCGCCCCAAGATGGTTCCAAGGTCGCCCCATCTCCGCGGCATTCGCCAGGTCAGAGTGTGCGCGTGTGGCTTTCTTGTGGGCTGCTGTCTTGCCCCCTGCAGACGGCATCTGAACACCACAACCGTGCCTGGCCGGGACCATCTTGGGCCCCAATCTGGTGTGTACGCCCTCCTGGCACCGGCCAGGAGAGCGTATCCACCATGCCAGGGCCCAGTATGGATGCCTTCTGCGTATGCCCCTTCTGCAAGGGTGAGATACGGCGTGCCAGCCCAGTCTGGTCCGCACGGGCGTGACGTCACGAGCGCACGTGCCACCGCCTCGCCGCGCTCGTCTCGGCGCCGCTGGGCGCGATGCGGGTGGTGTCGGCGTGGTCCGACTTTCGTTCCCGGAAAGCGAGGCACTCTGGAGAGTGAGAGGACGGAAAAGAGGGAGGGAGGGGGAAGGGGAGGAAGAGAGGGAAAGGGCGGGAAGAGGCAGATTTGGTCGGGGAGCGAAGGGGAGAGGATGGGAGGCATCAGGGATCGGAGGGGGGCGGGGAGGGGGTGGGAGGAGAGAGAGGGCAGGAGGGAGGAGGGAGCTGCGCTGCGCAGCGCTGGCTCCTGGCCGCTGCGCTGCGCAGCGCTGGCCCCTGGCCGCGCGGCTTCTGTTCGGCTCCCGCGCCCGTGCCCGCACCCGAGGCCCATGCAGCCAGGCAGCCACTACGGCCCGGCGCCCGACAGGCGGGGCACCGGCTTGGGGGGAGGCGGGGGAGAGAGGTTCGGAGGGGAGGGCAGCGGGGAGAAGAGGCGGGGGGGGGGGGGGGGGGGGGGGCGGGGGAAAGGGGGGTGGGGAGGGAGGGAGAAGAAGGGAGAGCAGCGGGAGGGATGATGATGCTGATGATGCTGCTTCTGCTGATGATGATGACGATGAAAATGATGATGCTGCTGCTGCTGCTGCTGATGATGATGATGATGATGGTGATGGCGATGGTTATGATGATGATGATGATGATGATGATGATGAGGAGGAGGAGGAGGAGGAGGAGGAGGAGGAGGAGGAGGAGGAGTATGAGGATAAGGATGAGGATGCTGACGCTAATGCTGATGCTGATGAAACTGATGATGATGCTCATGGTTATGATAATGATGGTGATGATGATGATGACGACGATGATGATGATGATGATGAGGAGGAGGATGACGATGATGAGTATTATGACGGTAATGATGGCGACAAGTATGATGATTATTATGATGATGACGAGGACGTTGACGACGACGACGACGGCGATGATGATGATGATGATGATGATGACGATGATGATGATGATGATGATGTTGACGATTATGATGCTGATGTTGGTGCTGGTAATGAGGAGTATGATGATGATGATTGCGATGGTGATGGTGATAGTGATGGTGATGGTGATGGTGGTGCTGATGATGGTTGTGATTGATGTGGTGGTTATGATGAGGATGATGATGAAGTTGACGATGATGCTGTTTCTGATGATGATGGATCTGATAATATAGATGATGCTGCTGATGCCGATGGTAATGATGCTGATGATGTGGATGACGATGGTGCGGATGATGATGACGATGATGATGCAGACGATGACGATGATGCTTGTAATGATGATGATAATGATGATGATGATGATGATGATGATGATGATGATGATGATGATGGTAATGCTGCTGCTGATGATGATGGTGGTTGTAGTGGTGATGATGGTGATTGTCTTGGTTGTGGTGATGCTGATGGTGATGCTGACGCTGATGCTGCTGATGATGATGATGATGATGATGATGGACCTGATAATGGTCCTGATGATTATGAAGCTGCTAACGATGATGCTGATGATGGTTATGATTATGACAAAGATGATGATGGGGATGTCGATGGCAGTGATGTCGATAATGTGGGTGAAGATGATGATGCTGATGATGATGCTGATGCTGATGCTGATGCTGATGCTGATGATGGTGGTGATAGTGATGATGATGGTAATGGTGATAGTGATGATGCTGATGATGCTGATTGATGATGACGCTGCTGAAGATGATGATGATGCGGATGGTGGTGATGGTGATGATGATGACGAGGATGATGAGGATGATCGGAACATTGGTCGGCCACAAGGTCTGCCAGGCGAGCACGCTCAGACACGGCCGAGTGCGACCTCCTCTGCCACGCGCGCAAGCCCGCGCGGCTCAAAACAACGCAGCCTACGGCCCACGGCGACCAGGCCTGCGGCGGTGAGCAGGAGCGCCCCGGCCCACAGAGAAAGGACCCGACAGCGATGTTGAATTCGCACAGGTGGTGCAGCGCCTGCTTCAGCCCAGCTGTAGCCACTCCACCTCTGGGTAAACCCACCTGCAGACGACGCAGCGGTACTTCCTGTTGTTGCCGCTCACGTTGTCCTTGGAGTCGCAGGCCATCAAGCTGATTGGAAAAGCGTCCTTGGTACTAGATGCACCCATCTGCTGTGCACCACCCATTGCTAGACAAGGCCCCTCCCCAACCTGATGAAGGAAGCATCCTTGTTGCCAGACGTGTCCTTCTGCTTTGCTGTGCCCGCTGCTCGACGAGGCCCCACTTCAAGCTGATTGCACACGCATCCTTGGTACGAGAAGTGCCCCTCTGCCGTGAGCCGCCCTCTGCTGGACGGAGCCCCTCCAATACAACACCCAGATACTCAACAGCCTCCGTCTCCAACACCGTTCGGTACGGTTTAGGGGGGCTCCGGCCCCCCCCCCCCCCCTGACCCCCCAAACAACAGGTCCGGAAAAAAAAAACGAACCCCTTTTACCCGCTCACGAGGAAAAACCGAAGGGGGGGGGGGCTGGAGGGAAAACGCGCCTAATCTCCGCAAGAACCTCCCCTGAGGGGGGGTCCGGGGCCCTCCCCCCTTTCCCCCTGACCCCTCCAAAAGCCCTCGCTGAGGGGGGGTCTGGTCCGGGGGGATACCCCCCTAACCAGCCGAAAAAGTTGCCCTGAGAGGGGGAGCCCAAGGGGAACATTTTATTGACACCCAAACCATCCTTGAGGGGGGTGAGGTTTTTTTTTCCAGGGGGGGGGGGGGGGGGGGGCGAACTGTAGTTTCTTGAGGCTTGCCAGGGGACCCTCCCCAAACAAAAACTTGTTTGAGGGAAACAACAATTGGAGCCCCCCTGGAACCCTTCCCTGATGGGGGGGTTAGGGCGGTTTTGTCGGCGAAACCCCCTTCTGAGGGTTTTTGTTCGAGAGTGGTCCCAGGGGAGCTTTCGATTCTAGTATGCTTTTTTATTTCGGCGCCCCCGAACCCACTCAAAACTCCCCCCAACCTAGGGTCCCGTGTTCTTGACCACGTGTTTGTGGCAATGCTTCTAGCCGCCGTACTCTGGCCCCTTTCGGGAGGCCCCAACTGGGGACCCATGGCTCGTTTCGACTCCTTCGGCTCGGTGCAGTTCGATTTCGATCAATTCCGATTCCGATTCGATTCAATTTCGGCTTCCGATTTGAATTTCAGCTTGTAAATGAAAACCTGGCTGGCCTGCCGGTTTCCGCCGAATCGCCGTTCCCGACTTGGCCGCCGCTTTCCGCCGATCCGTTGATTTCCGATCGCCGATCCGACGCATCGATACCGCCCATGGCTCTATGTGGCTCCATGGACCTCGAGGAGGAGGCAGAGGAGGCGGAGGAGGAGGCGGAGGAGGAGGAGGAGGAAAAGGAGGGGTGGGAGGAGGGGGAGGAGGAGGAGGCAGAGGCTGAGGAGGAGGGGGAGGAGGAGGGGGCGGAGGCGGAGGCGGAGGTGGAGAAGGAAAAGGAGGAGGAGGAGGAGGAGTAGGAGGAGGTGGAGGAGGAGGAGGAGGAGGAGGAGGAGGGGTCGGAGGAGGAGGAGGAGGAGGAGGAGGAGGAGGAGGAGGAGGAGGCGGAGGAGGAGGAGGCGGAGGATGAGGAGGAGGCGGAGGAGGCGGAAGGACCGGCGCCGCGCACCCGCAGAGATCCCCCCCAGCGGCCCTGCGCCGACAGGTCCCCGGCGCCAGCCTACGGGCAGGCGTTCGGCGTGCCGGCGGGGCCCGGAGCGCACGCGCCGCCCGCCGCCCACGGGGCGCCGTCCGCTGGCCGAGGGCTCGGGGTGGAGTCAGGGGCAGAGAGTCGGGTACAGCCAGGACCCTGGTTAAGGGGAGCCGGTCAGTGATTTGGCCCCGAAGCCCAAGATATGGACTGGAATGACCAAAGCAGGTCTGCCGTAGTTGGCGTTTTTCGGGTGACGGCAGTTCCGGTCAGTGGAATGGGGCGGGGGGGGCGCTCCCCAGTACACATCACTAAACCAGGTCGGTCGCACTAAACCCAGTTCTGCCAACGCCCGAAGAGAGGGCTGTGGACGACGATCCATGGAGGGGGAGCAGGTCGCCAAGCAGTTTCCAGATGTCTAGAGCATGCTTCAAGCATGCGTGCCAAGCGTAGATCGCATTTTTTTTTCAAGTTTGAAGCATGTTCCGGCATTTTGGATACATGTTTGAATCGATGGTAGAACTGTTAGGGTGTCCACTGTCATGGCATCCACAAGGAGAGGGGAGAGCAGAATTGATATCGAGTGCGGTGGGTGCCTGCGTCAAGGAGCGTGCCCAGGCGGCTCCAGACCCTGGAGGGTTCCTGGTCTGACGACTGCGGCGGTGGTATCCCTGGGCGATCCACGATCGGAGCTCCACTGGCTTCCAGACTCTGGATTCTTCATCCAATGGTTCCTTATCCGATGCCCTCCCTACCGTACCTGCAGAGTGAGGAGGAGGAGGAGGAGCAGGAGGAGATGCGCCCTCTTCTGCTGAATTGCTGAAGCCTTTCCTGCTGTGGAGCGGGCGGAACATTGGTTTACATGGTCCTATATGGTTTAAATAGTGTGCAAGCTATGTTGTGCAATATCTATGGTGAAAGCTATGTGGTGTAATCGCACCATCTGCAAGCTACTGTCCTCGCGACACGTGAAAGCGAAACGATTAGCGTTTTCCGAGCGGTTCGCTTTCGATCTCGCTTTCTTAACTACTAATTTTCTCGGGGAGCTTCGTTTTCGCTTTCGCTTTCTTAACAATTAACTATATTTTTTTGTGTTTCGCTCAGTCATTCCCACCGTCGCCTGAACTTGTCACTTGCGGCCGCGCCTTCACCTAATTATGAATGGCGCGCCCACGGGTTCAATGTTTTCGGTACCGAAGGCACGTAAAATGTAAGGTGTGGCAACAACTCCAACCACATTCTCATGCTCCGTCAAATCCGCATTGCAGTCAATTTGTTATTCGAAGCATCTTTACTCAAACCATATGATATTATGCTGGCTGCTGTTGCCCAGCATGGGAATTAAACAGTGGTTCATCGGTTCCTAGCAACGCACGTGGGTTTGGCAATGTATGTGGTTCAACATATGTAGCGCAACCTATGTGGTGCAATATGCGTGGTGC